ACAACAAAGTGAATACATAACAAGTTCAAGTCCATGATTTGAATATAGAAACAACTTCTAAAATACCAATAGATCCATGGAGCCATTAGATAGAATTTAATTAAATAAGATGGTTAAATTCTCTAGATTTCAAATAACCTCAAATTAATATATGTTAAGCAACATATCATGGTCTTTACATATATCAAATCAAAAGTGCAAGATGAGCAAGATATCATCAAATAGAATTTAATTAATTTAAATCAATTAAATCTCTAGATTTCAAAAGTTGTCCAAATGATCCATAATTAACATATATTAAGCACCAACTCATGGTCATACCATATCTCAAGTCCAAAATGGGATACAAGCAAAACACAATTTACTAGAATTTAAATCAAATTAAATTCTTTAAATCTCTAGATTTAAAAACTCATTTAAATCATCCCAATTTAATATACAACAAAGATCAAGTCATGGCCATGCCATATATCTAGTCCAAAATGAGTTGTAAGCAAACTACCATTAATCATAATTTCTCAAATTAATACAATACATGTATACAAGTTGTAAAAGCATCAAAAACATGCAAGATAACAAACATATAACCCTATAGCATCCCCTACCTCACTAGAGAAGTGTCTCTCTAGAATCTAAGGCAAAATCAACACAAAATGGCAACCCTTCTAGGGTTATGAAGAGGAAGATGAGGGGAACAAAATGTATTCCCAAGTTCAAACTTGGAAATCAATGGAAGGCCCTAAAAAATCAAGGTCAAAGTTTAAGGCTTTAGACTCTATCCATGGAGGCTAGGGTTTTCTTTACCAAAGAGGGAGGAAATGGAAAATTATGAAGATGAAATGTGAGTGGAGGGGATAGAGATCCTCCACTCACTATGTGCTCTTATACTACCTCACACACACACACTAATGCAAGATCAAATTGTGAGCCTACACTTGTCACTCATCCAAGGCTCCATCCTAAGCTTGATCTCAAGCCCACACTTATCAACCATCCAAGCCAACAAGTGCACCAATCCTAGGCCAACATGTGGATGAATCTCCACCCTCCATGTGTCATCATCTAAGGCCTCAAAGTGTCTCCACACAAATGTCAACAAGTGGACCAATGAGAGTGTGACACTTGTCACACTTTCCAAAAATTACAAAAAAGTCCTTTTTGAAAATATCTTCCAAATTAAATTACAAAATGGTCCCTAAGACAAAAAATAATTACTTTATAGTAATTACACAAAACCCCAAAAGTTAAGAAAATTACAAAAAGGTCTTGCATCTATACCCTTTACAAGAAAAGTAAGCACTTAGCATGCTTTTCTACAAAAGTAAAAATATGAAAATGACTCGTTCCTCAAAGGAAGTCGTCAATCCAAGGAAAAGAGTCTCGGAAACCATCCTCAAGCACTCAAGATGACATTAAGTTACAAGAAATCGAACTCAGAAAAGAAAAGATCAATGGAAAAAAAATATCCATGAAAATCTGGGAAAAGGAAAGAAAAGAAAATGACCGGGTCATTACAATATGATTATAACCAATTGCATATTTGTATTTTATAATCTTGAGGCATGATATATATATATATATATATATATATATATGTGTGTGTGTGTGTGTGTGTGTGTGTGTTGGGATTTGCTTGAGGACCAATGTTAGGATTTAGTTCTATGGATGCCATTGTTAAGATATGGTTTTATTTTGGATTATGTGGATGGACTGGCTAATAAATTCAGTCTTATCTCTTCGTGTCAGGTCACGGAACGATGTGGATGACATGCCATTGAAAGACTATGGCGGATAGTTTATTTTATTGTTATGGATAGGACATCGATATATGCCACGATATGAGCTTGAGATCTCAGGATTAGTGGTTAGTATAGAGGCGTATATTGCCATTTCAGATGCGTAGCTAAATTAGGTATGTGTGTGCCCTAGTAGAACACTTGTGACCACCTTTGTGTGCGATTTACATAAGATACTAGGGGTGGCAAATGGGCGGGTTTGGTCGGATTTGGGCTGGGTTGAAAATGGACTGGTCAAACATTGGTCAAGACTCATATTCAACCCGCTCGGAATAGGTTAAAAATGGGATGGTAAAAAATGTATAGGGTCAACTCGTTATGACCCGTGGACCCATAAAAATTTTGATGTTTACAAATATGGAAAAAGAAAATGTAATTTGCATATTTGTAAAAATAAATAAATAAAATGACCCGTGAAACCCACCCAACCCACCCAAAATATTGATGTTTAAAAAATAAAATTTTCTTAAAAAAATTGATGTTTACAAACATGGAAAATGAAAATGTAATTTGTATATTTGTAAACAAAAAATGACCCGTGAAACCTGACCGACCCGCCCAAAATATTGATGTTTAAAAAATAAATTTTTCTTAAAAATTTTAATGTTTACAAACATGAAAATAGAAAATGTAATTTGAATATTTGAAAAAATAAAAAAAAAAAAAAAATAACCTATGAAACCCGATCGACTCGCCCAAAATATTAATGTTTAAAAATAAAATTTTCTTAAAAATTTTGATATTTACAAACATGGAAAAAGAAAATGTAATTTGCATATTTGAAAAAAAAATAATAATAAAAAATTTTGACCCATGAAACCCGACCGACCCGCCCAAAATTTTGATGTTTAAAAAATAAAAATTTCTTAAAAATTTTGATGCTTATAAACATGGAAAAAGAAAATGTAATTTGCATATTTGAAAAAAATAAAATAAAATAAAAAATGACCTGTGAAACCCGACCGACCGGCCCAAAATTTTGATGTTTAAAAAATAAAATTTTCTTAAAAAATTGATGTTTACAAACATGCAAAAGGAAAATGTAATTTGTATATTTGCAAAAAATAAAAAAATAAAAAAATTGACCCGTGAAACCTGATCGACCCGCCCAAAATATTGATGTTTAAAAATAAAATTTTCTTAAAAATTTTGATATTTGCAAACATAGAAAAAGAAAATGTAATTTGCATTTTTGAAATATATATATATATATATATTTATCCGAGAAACCCGGCCGACTCGCCCAAAATTTTGATGTTTAAAAAATAAAATTTTCTTAAAAAATTTGATGTTTACCAATATGGAAAATGAAAATGTAATTTGTATATTTGTTAAAAAAAAAAAAAAAAAGAAGAAGAAGACCCGTGAAACCCACACGAGCCGCCCAAAATATAGGCTGGGACTGGGCTGAGTTGGGCCAACCCAACTTGCAGCCCTTCGTGAGAGAGAAATGAGTTGAGTGTAATATAAAATAGATGTGTTGTGTGTCTATTATGTGATGGGTGAAATATGGGTTGAATATGGGTAACCATATTCAACCCATCTTGACCCTCAAATTAAGTGGTTAAAAATTACCCAACCTATTTTTGACCAATCTTAAATATGGTTCACCCATAACCATTAAAAAATGAGCAGATATAGGTGAGTTGATGGTTTCTGACCCATTTTGCCACCCCTATGAGATACCCACTATACGGTTGAGGTTGTCTCAATTTAGTAAGAGTCTTTAGGGTGTATAATTATATATTTATGAACTATGTAGTTCTTGCATGAGTTAGTTATAGATGTGTAGCTTTTCAAATCTCTATTTGGGTTGTCGTATAAAGAACTTGTTTGCGAGCTGACCCGCTATTTATTTTTCAGGTCTATAGGTTTATCAGGTGTAGATATTGTTCGTACAAAGTAGAGAACAGTTATCATCACTATTCCAGTCATTTACATAGGAGTCTAGTTTATATTTTCAGTATTCAAATGTATACAATTATTTATTTTAGTATTAGATTTTTAGGGGTCCACATGTTAGGGATTTCCGAGTTATATTTTGGAGGATTATTGTATCAGAAGAATTTATTATTTAATGAAATTTACTTTAATGATTTAATTATCATTTTAGTATTCCTTTCAGCATTTTATTTATTCGTTATTTATTCTTTTTGTAATCTGTATTTGATTATTGCTATATTATAGCTACACGTGAAAATTCGGGGGTATCACACACGTGTCACATGACTTTCCATTTGCATGGAACTGGTTACTTCCTTGGCTTCCACGTGTCTCAAGATGGTTACTTCACCAAATGGCTTTCTTAGATGAATTCGCATGTTACTTTATGATTGCACCCACGTCTGCATATCACCCTTCCATTGAAATCGGCCACTACAACTTTCTATTGAAAAATGACCGATAATTATGGTGCAAATAGTTATGGTTGTGGCCCTTTTATTAAGCCATGTGACCAACTTGGATTGGTTTTTAGTCTAAGTCTTTAGAAAATAGTGATTTCAACTGAAACTGTAGCACCTTCCATGGAATCGACCACGGCAACTTTTTACTGAAAAGTAATCGATAATTATGGTGTAAATAGGGGTGTCATTGAGCACATGCACTAAATTTCAAGGGTAATAAATATAATTTATCCATGATTTATGGATATAAATAATTTTGGAATATACTTGACATATTCTTTAGTTAAAAAGTAGAATTCAAGGAAACCTTTGGGGACTATATGAATAATTTAAAGAATTTTAAGATAAGGACGATTGCAACATCTCAATTAAAAATATCTAATACTGTCTTGGCTGAGTCATGGTTCTGAAAACTTAAGCATGGGGCCCAAGACAATATATTTAGAAAATGACTTTTTAATTAATTGCAACTCAACCACTTGATTCAATGATAATAGTCTTATTCTATTTATTTATTAAAGGAGGGATGAACCCATTATAATTAGAGATTAGTTTTTTATTGGCAAGCCATGTGCATCGAAATTTTGCTGTCCATGTGTTAAAAGATTAAAGTTTTCTCAACTTGATAATCAAGACTTTGGGATTATTATATAATATGCAAATGTGTACGATTAAAATATTCTAAGGTAATAAAGAAAATAATTGGACCCTCTTTGGAATCAATTGAATATTTATTATTATTATTGTTACAAGAAAGCCCCTAGCTTCACACTATAAATACCACCTCCGGTTCTCACACTTACGTTGTACCAAAGTTTCTTCACAACCCAAATATCAGTCCTTATTCTTCTTTGATCATTCTCAAAATCTTTTTTAAGACATCATGGGTGTCATAAGTTATGATATTGAGATCACTTCCTCAATCCCTCCCGCCAAGATGTTCAAGGCCTTTGTCCTTGACGCTGACACTCTCATTCCAAAGATCTTGCCACAAGCTATTAAGAGTGTCGAAATCCTTGAAGGAGATGGAGGACCTGGAACCATCAAGCTCGTCACTTTTGGCGAAGGTTAATCTCTATATATCATCATTAGTTAGTCTTTTCTTCTTTAAACCACTATTATGCTAACTCTTAATTCCGATAATACTTTCCTATTATTATAAAACAATACAGAAACTTATTTAAATATTAATTTAAAAAATTTAATTAAACGAAGTTTTTTTTTTCTTCAAAAATTGTCTTTTATAATTCTTTCAAAACAATTTTTTATTTTTTTTTGGTTGACTAACCAAACCGACTCCATATACATATATAACAATTTTCATTTCTTGATGGGCAGGAAGTCAATATAAGAGCGTGAAGCACAAGGTTGATGGGATCGACAAAGAGACTTTCACCTACTCATACAGCATAATCGAAGGTGATGCTTTGATGGGTGTACTTGAATCCATCTCTTACGAGATCAAAATCGAAGCCTCTGCCGATGGAGGATCCATTTGCAAGAACAGTAGCAAATATCACACAAAAGGCGATGCCCAAATTACAGAAGAACAAATTAAATCTGGCAAAGAAAAGGCCTCTGGAATGTTCAAGGCTGTTGAGGCCTACCTCTTGGCAAATCCTGATGCCTGCTAGAACAAATGACGCCTTATAGTCTATATATATATATATAAATATCCCATGAGTGTGCTTTTGTATCATTTGCTAAAATTGGGGTTTCCTCCACGTTTCTTGTTCTGTCTAAAATTTTATTTTTTGCTTGATAGTATGTATGTTCCTATTGTGATCAAGTTTCTTGCATTGCCTTGATTGGAGAGTCCATGTACTATTTTACTTATAATTCAAAGTCTTCTGTTTGATTAATTGAGCAATTAGTCAATTATCTCTGAACTGAACTTTTCAAGTTTTCAGTTCAATTTACTAAATATTTTTGTAGGACTTTTACTTGTAGATAATACAATTGGGATAATGGGATGCGAGCATCAGTCAATTGAATACTCAGTTCTAATCATGGATGGGGTATAGTATTTTAATTAAACTTCACAAAAAATTTTCCCTCGCCTTTCTCTAACCCTTCAGCTGCCTCCATTCTGTTTTATCCCTTGTGTTTGCTTCCCACTCCGTGCCGATCTTTGTCTCCCATTGCTTAATAAACTCGGCATGTTATAATAAGTTCGCTCGGTAGATGGATTTCATGTTATATTGTTGTTGTTTTGCTAGATCTACTACTGTATTGGCTTGTTTCTGATTCAACAGGGTGGATTTATTGTTTTGTCTCCGAATAGATCTCTGATCTATGTCGAGTTTTAGTGTCACCACCTTTTTGTGCAAGACTTGGTTAGTTTTTCCCAATCGACGGTGCCTTGTGGATGTAACCTTAGAGTTGTTACTTTAATGATAGTCTGACCTTTGAGTCATTCCGTTACTCTTCTTTCTTATTGACCCACTTGTTTCTCAACAAATTTGAAACTGATTTTTTAGTTTTTCTTTTTATTATTTCATGATTTGTTTGTCTCTATGCGGCGTTTATTGTCGTGTATTTTAATTAAAGCTGGCATGAATTTCCTTTTCTTTTTAAAATATGAACTCTAATAATATGAGAAGGTGAGTTCCTTCGAGAAGTTTGACTCAGCCCAACTTCAAGTTAAATCCAAGATAAGAACCATTATCTTGCAAGATTGGGTGACAAAAGCAAATTTATAAAAGTCAGATAAATATAACTAAACACTTTGGTTGAGTCATTCTTTCCTCAAAACTGTAACGATCCACTCCACCACATGGTATGATATTGTCCGCTTTGGGCCTGAGCCCGCACGGTTTCGCTCTTGGGCTTCACCCCAAAAAGCCTTATACCAATTGGAGAAGATGCACTTACATATAAGCACTTCACCTTTCCTCTACCCAGGCGATGTGGGACTTGTGCACCCGTAGCTCACCAATGTGGTAACCTGACAGTGTCTCTTGCACCTGCCCACAGCACACCTGCCCACAAGGTCATCACAATCCACCCCCCTTGGAGGCCCGACGTCCCCGTCGGCACACTTCCAGCTGGGTCAGGCTCTGATACCATTTGTAACGACCCACTCCACCACATGGTATGATATTGTCCGCTTTGGGCCAGAGCCCGCACGGTTTTGCTCTTGGGCTTCACCCCAAAAGGCCTCATACCAATTGGAGAAGATGCACTTACATATAAGCACTTCACCTTTCCTCTACCCAGGCGATGTGGGACTTGTGCACCCATAGCTCACCAATGTGGTAACCTGACAGTGTCTCTCGCACCTGCCCACAGCACACCTGCCCACAAGGTCATCACAATCCACCCCCCTTGGAGGCCCGACGTCCCCGTCGGCACACTTCCGGCTGGGTCAGGCTCTGATACCATTTGTAATGACCCACTCCACCACATGGTATGATATTGTCCGCTTTGGGCCTGAGCCCGCACGGTTTTGCTCTTGGGCTTCACCCTAAAAGGCCTCATACCAATTGGAGAAGATGCACTTACATATAAGCACTTCACCTTTCCTCTACCCAGGCGATGTGGGACTTGTGCACCCGTAGCTCACCAATGTGGTAACCTGACAGTGTCTCTTGCACCTGCCCACAGCACACCTGCCCACAAGGTCATCACAATCCACCCCCCTTGGAGGCCCGACGTCCCCGTCGGCACACTTCCGGCTGGGTCAGGCTCTGATACCATTTGTAACGACCCACTCCACCACATGGTATGATATTATCCGCTTTGGGCCTGAGCCCACACGGTTTTGCTCTTGGGCTTCACCCCAAAAGGCCTCATACCAATTGGAGAAGATGCACTTACATATAAGCACTTCACCTTTCCTCTACCCAGGCGATGTGGGACTTGTGCACCCGTAGCTCACCAATGTGGTAACCTGACAGTGTCTCTTGCACCTGCCCACAGCACACCTGCCCACAAGGTCATCACAAAAACTTTCATCGATAAAGACCCAAAAGACTTCGGGACAATTTTTTCATAAATTCATATGTCCACTTCGGTTGACCCGGTGTTTCGAACAACTTGCTGAATTTGAGCAACTGCGCATGACGAGTTGGTAGTACAGTTTTTTTTTCTCGGTATCAGTTACTCCTTCGGTTTCAAATTAAATATTAACCTTTTTTTTATTTTTTACTGTTTCAAAATGAATGTTTCATTTGATAAGTCAAAGTATTATTTTTTGTAACATATTCAATTTAACTTTCTTATATTGAATTTATAAAAAATAAATCATCACATTATGTTGACTTAATTATGAACATATTTGGTAATTCATTCACTACAAATACAATAAAAAAATATTAAAACCCAACCTCTTAAAAAGTTCAATTTCTAATGGATGTATTACTAAATATAGGATTAAATTCATAAAACTTAATCCTACTGTCAAAATCATGGATAAAATCCTCAGTAGAATTAAAAAATGAACAATACTTAGGTCCTCCTCACTCACTAGTGAGGACTTAAGTAATGTTCATTTTTTAAATTAACAAAATTTATCAAATTACCACCTAACTCTTGACCCGTTAAAGGGTACGTTTTTAATTAATATTAAATTAAAACTTATAATTATTATTTAAAAATTACAAAAATAATGTTAGGGTTGAGAAATGGGTCATCGATCACTAGTGAGATAATAACCCAACTAACATTAAATAATGTTATTTTAAAGGAGCATTTTTTAATTTGAAATAATAATTATAGTTTTTAATTTAATATTAAAAAGTAAGGTCAAATTTTACATTTCACAATTCATTTAACGGGTCAATCACAAGTTTAGAGATAACTTAATAAGTTTTATTAGTTCCAGAGGTTTTTTAATTCTATAGTGAGTTTTATGCACGATTTTTAAAATAGAGGGGCCTAAGTATATTCAACTTTATTAATTGGATAGATAGAAATTTTGATGTGATTTGTTTGAAAATTAGAGGCTTGAGTGCATTTCATTTTCACTTTTCCTTTCTTTATCTTTTAAACAGAGTCATATTTTAACTCGGAGGGTTCGAGAAGGGGGTTTGGGGCGGCGCTAGAGAGAGAAATATCTAGAGAGAGAAATTCCAAACCCTTTAGATCCTCCACCTCTTCTTTCTAGCTTGATCCAGTTTTCTCTTCTCTGTTCATTAGAGTTTTCTTTTCTCCTTTGTATAGGAGCTTTCTCTTTTCTTAAGAGATTCTCTGTTTGTCAAAGTGTGTTCTTTGGCTTTCCTTTCGTTCTTTTGTTCCTGATGGTTTCCTCTATGGTGCTTTTGGGTCTTCCTTTCATTCTTGGTAGAACCGGCAACTGTGCGTAACGATATGTAAATCTGGGGTTTCTCCATTTTGGACTATTTGATGACCCATCAGTGCACAATTTTATTTTAGATCCGGGTATTACTTTTAGTTCTTATGTTTTATGTTAGTGTTATTTTTGTTGGAAAAATATATGCTTCATGTGACATTTAAGATATAACAAACCTTATACTAATATGTCATATGATAATTAACAATATGCTATGAAATCATTAATTAAATATGCAACTTTATATTTAATTAAATATGCAAAATAAAGGAATAAAATAATAATAATATACAAGGAATGAACCTGGACCGAGGCTAGTATTGGATACTATGTCCTTAAAATAGATTCGCCCCGCTATGGTGCTAACGGACTCTGTGGCGTCTATCTCCCAGGATACAACGGTCTATATCCACCAGTAGCAGCACTACAAACTCATGGATACGGCGAACCTCCTCCGTGTAATACTCTCTCTGGCTCAAAAATGCATCTATACTATATAAATGCTGAATTGGGTGCAATCCAAATCAAATGGTTCGGACCAATCTTAATATGGCTAGATAAAATTGAATCAGGGTCTAAGTGGTTTAGACCACTTAACCTATGGTTTAAACCCACTTGGGTTGGGTTCAAGTCTAGAGAGGGAGATAGAAGAAATTGAAAAATGAATGAATTGCAAATGATCCAAAGGGGGGTATTTATAGGCAACAAGGTGCCTTTTCGGATTGGGTGCAACCCTTTGGAATAAACTAAAAAGTAGTTTTTAATTAATGTGCCTTTTCGGATTGGGTGTGTCTCTTCATCATTAGACACAACCATTTATACGTGTCTCTTCACACTGGACACATCCACTCCAATTGGTTACAATGGTTCAAATGGTGTCTGTTCACCAATAGACACATCCACTCCAACAGGTTGTAATGGTTCACATGGTGTCTGTTCACCAATAGACACATCCATTCCAATAGGTTACAATGGTTCACATGAATAGTTATGTCTGTTGGTTTTGAATTGCAACTCTTTGAAAAACAGATGCAACCGTTTAGAAATAGATGCAACCCTTTGGAAAAAACTAACTTTTAATTTAAATTTTAAAAAAAAAAACTAACCACCCATTTAAATAAGCCCAGCCCAAAATTAAAGGTCCAATCCAAGATTCCATTTAGTAAAAAGATTAATTGGACTTTACAATTAGGCCCAAGCAATTAGGCCCAAGCCCAAGCCCAATCCCAAGCCCAAATTTGGCTTATTTAAATTTCAATTAGTTTTAACATTTTTTCCATGTGGGACAAACACTTCTCACATTTTGCATACCCATTTAGGCTTATCAAAACACCACACTTTGGAGCTAATTTCTCATTCACCCGGAAACAAATTTGAGAAAGTAAATATACCACGTTCATCTCCTTGTGGAGAGAAACACGCTCATCTAGAGATCCGCAAAAAATTATTAGCAGTGTCTATTCCAAACCTCATCCAAAGTTTATATTTTTAATACCCCTGTTTCTAACAATTTTATCTTCGTGTCTTGCCTTTCAGATCTCGTGGTTTGCCTCCCTTCTCATTCTGGGT